CGAGGGCAATGGCCCTGGACCTTAGAGGAGCTGGGCTTAATGCCCATTGCTGGTGCTGGCTTCTTGTGCACTTTGGGCATGTCACTTGGGCTCTCAGGTGCAAAATGGGGGAAATTGCTACTGTGTGCCTCATGGCAGTCCTGCAAGGATAAATACACTCAGCACTGCAAGGTGCTCAGGCTCCACAGCAGTGCTTAAGCTAGGCAGTGGGCATGCAAAAGAATGGCAGGATCACCCCCTGGAAAAGCCACGAGCTGCTGTGAGCGCGCCTCCCATGGACAGCTGGCTGACACCGTTAAACGTGACATTCCCAGGTGCTGACACGCTGGTTGGAGCTGCTGTTTCCCATGTAGCCCCATGGAAGCAGTGCTACCCAGGGCACCAGGCTAGCACTCGCTTGCTAAAGGCCAGATGTGTGACACTAGTGTAAAACAAGGAAACACTTCCAATGTTCAGGGACAAGAGACGGAGACTAGTCCTATGCATAATTGCATCCAGAGATCTTCCCAGGCTGGGGTCTATATAATAGTGCCCCCCATCTGCTATTGTTTTCCCTGCTTCTTCCCAGGTCCTCGTCCTCTGCCATTCTCAGCTTTCTACCATGTATGATGGTGGCTTTCTGGCTGGATGGATCTTCTTGACCTTACTCAGGCTTTCCCCAGATTAAAGAGTGAAGCTGAACTGGTCAGTTTCTGAACCTGAACTTCACAGGTCTTGAATTCTGATCCTCTTCTCTCTCCCCTGTAAATCTACACCTGTCCCTCCCTCTTGCTTCCTGCTTTACTGCCTACCCACTTTTATGTTCAAACTTCCCTTGATCCTGACAATCCACCTGCCGCTCCTTTTCTCAAGGGCATGAAAGTCATCTTGTCCCAGCTGTTCTTCCTTCTTGGAATAACATCAAGAGAACTGCACTGTCTTCTGCAGGAGCTGTTCTCCTCCACAGAGTCAGAACTTACTACTTCACGTTGTTTGATTCCTTTGTCTTCATACTCCTTGACTCGGGACAGGCTTTGATTTTGATAGGCTACTCTGATCTCCAACTCCAGCTTAGAGACCTTGGTGGATTTGAAAAGCTATTTGAAAAATATATCAACAACTTTGGGTGCTGAAATATCCTTGAAAACCTGGCCTCAAGGCCCCTTTTTCAGGTTCCACTAGATTTAGTTCTTAGCCCTCTGCAGTGTTTTCTGTCATTGTCCTGCATGATGATCTTTCAGACGTCAAACAAATCTGCTGCCGTTTTGCTGATGTTACCGATTGCTTCTGTTCTCTGCCCTTCTGATGACTCCATCCATTCTCTCTAAGTGGTTTCAGTGTATGGCTTCATCTTTATCTACCTCCTCTCCATATCTCAGAGAGAGACAAAGGGTGATGAAATTATATATTCCATGTTCCTTTTTCACAGACAGCCTCTTTTCTACCTTGAATTACTACTACTGTAGCGTCTCTCTTACTCACCTTTGGCTTTTCTTTTTTTCACCTACATTCCCCCTCCCCCCCTCTTTCC